CACTCGCACGCACGCACTCGCACGCAGGAGTTGGCGGGCCTGACCCTCCTCTCTGATATCCCCATGGAGGTTACGTGCGAGGCTGACGTGTTGGCGTGGCTCCTTTTCATTCGCCTTGTGGGGGAGACACTCTGCCTCACCATCACAAGGCGTCGGGCCTTTGGCTGCCGAGCAGTTCCGAGGCAAGAGCAGCGTGGGACACGGCCGACTCGGTTAGACAGGCGGTACCTGTCCCATTCCGGCAAGAGGCGGTAATCCTTCGCTTTCGTAAGCTCTTCCCCGCCGAGTGGTTTCAGGGGTTTCGGTTTCCCATGGTCGAGGACCTTCTCAACCAGGCCCCCTTCGACACCTTTGGCAGGTGGCTTGCCGCGCGTGGAGATGAGTGGGAGGGACCCCTCGTTCCAATCGCGGCCGAGCGGCAGCAGCGCTTTCGGCAGCGCGCGGCCGATGGCTTACAGGTCGGGGCTTCCACGCATCGGGCAGCCCTGCCCCCGCTCTTGCCGTTTGGCCTCTCGGTGGACGAGCACTTTGAGCAATCGCTTCACCTGGGCACCCAGCCGCTTCAAACAGAGTTGCACCCTGTGCTCGACGCCGACCTTCTCTTCGCGGCCGAGATCCATGCGAAACACAGGGGTTCCCTATGGCCCATGCGTCAGCGCGGGGTGGGGGCACTCAAGGAGCTGAAGCGGAGATGGGAATCGGTGGGCGAGCAGCGGCGAGCCAGGCAGCCGCAGGCGCTGCGGCGAGCCACGCACCAGCGCGACCTCCGCCTCACAGCCTTGCTCATCATCCTCACCAGTTGGGGGGATGTTACCTACGCGCATGGGCTGGTCAAGGGTCTTCCGGCGGTGGGGTTCGCACCGCCCTACGGGGTGTTCCCAACCCAGGATGCCGAACCGATCTCCCTCGAGGACGTCCTGGGAGATTGGCACACGCACAACACCGAGACGATCCAGCGGTTGAGGCCAGGCCGCTTGGACGAAGTGCTGCTTGAGCAATCCATGGCAGATGCAGCCCAGGCTGTCCCAGGCGGGGGTACAAAGGCTGTTGAGAGGACAGCCGTTCAGGGTGATACCCCGCTGCGTAATTACGCAGGGGTCAGGAAAACATCGAATTATCGACAACGCAGCTGAAGGGGGTCAATCGGCGACGTCGGCCGACTCAAACAAGCTCGTGCTTTGCTCTCCTCTCAGGCCGGCTCAGCACGTGCGGGCCACCATTAGCCACATGTCCGAGGCGGAACTCGCGATTGCTAAGGCCGAGGACTCCTGGCACACAGGAGGAGAAGCTTGGCCGAACGCTTGTCGCCACTCACCGATGTGTTCGGCAGAATCCCGTGCATGCGTGGTGTGTTTTTGGCACCACGAGTGGCAGCAGCCGGCATTCCAGGTGTACGCCGGCCTTTTGTTCGGACTTCCACTGGCGGTGACCTCTTTCAACCGGTACTCGCACCTGGTCGAGGCCCTTGGGCGCCGCCTCGTGCTGACATTGGTCTCCCTCTACTTGATGACGCCACAGTGGGAGACTGGGCCTCCTCGAAGGGCTCGGGTCAGTGGGCATTCGGGCAGCTCAACACGTTGTTGGGCACCCCCTTTGCTGACTCCAAGAGGCAGCCCATGTCACATCGTGGGGATTTCCTGGGCCTCTCGCACGACATGTCTCGGGCTCTTTCCGATGGGGTCGTGCACTTTTGGCCTCGCGACAGGATCGTGCAGAAGGTCACCGCCATGCTGTCCGAGGCGGAGTCGAGTTCTTGCTTGCACCCAGGTCAGGCCGCCAAACTCTACGGGATCCTCAACTTCTTCGAGCAAGGGGTATATGGCAAAGTCGGGGCAGGGAGCCTCTGGGCCATTAAAGAGCGGCAGTACGAGGCGACCACGCAGATTACGCCCGACCTTCTGGACAACTTCAGGTGCATTCGAGCCATCATTCGAGCCAAGCCTCAAAGACAACTGCCCGTGTTGCCGCTACCATGCAAGCGCTTTGTGTGTGCCTCAGACGCGGCTGAGGAGCCAGACACCGGCGGTACCGGTGGCTTCCTCGTCGTCTGGTTCAGCGGGTCGCGGCAGACCCGTGAGGGCTTTGTAGCCGATATCCACCCCTGGTGGTATTCGGTGTGGAAGTCCGCCGAGGTACACATCGCACAGCTGGAAATCTCTATGGTGGCATACGCACTGCTAGGGCGCCCGGAGCATTTCCGGAATCGCCGCGGCATCTGGTTCCTCGACAACGTCGCCTCGTTGATGGCCCTAGTAAAAGGACGGTCCTCTTCCAGAGACCTCGAGAGCTTCGCTCATATGGTGCATATGCTGCTACTTGGGCTCAACACCCAGATGTGGTTCGAGTACATTCCGTCAAAGTCGAATTGGGCTGATGCCATTTCCAGACTAGGGCGGGACGACCCCTGGCATGTCAGCCAGTCTTTTTCAACTTCGGTTATCCGCTTCCCACGTGTTGTTTCGGGGTTGCCACCGTCCGCTTTGCTCACACTCGCGAGCTTTCTCTAATGCTTTGGGACTAGTGCCGTGGGTGTTCATGCCCGAGAATCGGGCTCGGGTTAGCTG